TTATTATTATTATTATTATTTCTTGATTACACTGCTATACAAGCACTGCGAATAATTCGACGATGTGTGACAGTTCTTTGGTCTCCTTGCATCCTGACTTCTTACAGTGCGCGGTGATCTGAATAAAAGCATCGAGCTCATGTCCCCAAACAGTCTATACTGGGAGAGAAATTGCCGTGGGATGTTTTCCCACGGGTTGAAGTGAAACGAATGACGTGATCATTAATCAATAACAATCAGCAGTAATTAGCTTACATTAAGTGCATATTAGGGAGTTTGTCTCGCATCATGAGGCGAGGGGGTTTGCGTTGTTGGCTTGACAGAATGCAGAAATGAAGAATGAGAAGTACGGCGTGTGAGGGCCACCTGGTTACCTGTAACCTGTTAATATATTTTCTTTAGGATACTATGAAAAAAATCTTCAGGTAAAACACGAGGGGTTTATTTAAAAGCGAGAGAGAGAGAGAAGCTCACGGCCTTGCATGCGACGCAAAACAGGGACCGACAGATAGAAGAAACGGGTCGATAAGCACATAATAAATTATGTGAATAACAATCGTGTACAAAGGTTTTGTTTATTCCTTTTGGTATCCAACAGAATCGAGGAAGCGTGACGACAAGCCATCGATAATCCATCGTTTTAATCGACCGGCTTTGTCGATACCTCCTCCTTCATCCAATTTCAGTCAGAGGAAAACTACAAAAAAGGGACATTCAGCAGAACTTTCTCCACTTTGTCGGAATAATTTCCACCAGTCTCCCGAAAAAGTTCAGACCTCTCAATATTTCCTGCACATCGGGTTGGACAAATGCTTTCACATGGTGCAACACCTTTTTTTTCTCCCTTTTTTAAAAGAGCAATTAACTGTGATTATGCTTGCAAAGAAAAGTGTTGCTCTCCGACACTGGGCCGTTGGGGAATACTTTTCTGCGCCATTTAAAGCTTTAAATGCTTTGGGGAAACATAGAACGGCTGCTCGGAGAAACTTCGCGTTTCGTAGCATTTGCTTTCCAGAAATGTGACGTGCATTTTTTTT